CCTCCCTCGCTGCGCCGGGCCTTTCGTCCTGCGGCCCCCCAGAGCCTGCCCTGGGCTGCCCTGTCTCTACTGTTGTCACCGCTGCCTCCAGGCTGCCCTGTGGGCCAGCAGTGACACTGCAAAACAAAATGCAGGGCAGTCTGGTACAGGCTCCAGGCAGCTGCAGCAGGAACAGCCAGCAGCAGTGAGGGGGAGGAGCTGCTTTCTGCTGTGCTGAGCAACAGCTTCTGTCCTGTGTCTCAACTGCTGACCCTGGGCAGGCAAACCTGGAGCAGGTGCAAGGCTGGGGTTATGTCATTGGGTCCCTGCCAGTACTGCGTGGCTGGGGCCAGAGGCAGCAGCTGGAAGGAACTGTCACCATCTGGGCTGCCTAGAAAGGCAGTCCAGCTGCAGTGCCAACTGAGCCCTGCTGCATGCCCAGGAGGCAGCAAGACATGCCATGGCTGGATGGTGCCTGGGCCAGGCTGGACCAAGGGACCTGCTGCAGGTCAGATTTGGCCCATGAGCCATATTTTGCCCACCCCTGGCATAACAGATGCAGCAGCAGTTAGGCCTGCTTTACCATAGGCCTATTTCAGAATACTGAAGGAAGGTGAGCTGTGCCAAACTTGAGAGTGAAAGAACTTGGGGAGTCAAGTCCTCCTATGATTCCAATTTACCATTCCAGTGGAGTCTGTGCAAGACAACTCCAACACAGCACCATCTCTACTGTATTAGACATTGTCCCTAAATGTTCATGTCATTTGTGACAACCTACTGAAATGTCACCAGGCTCTACTACTGCAGGCCCCTTTAATGTCATTATAGAATCATAGGACTGGAAGGGACCCTGAAGGATCAGAGTCCAGCCCCCTGCATGAGCAAGAAAGACATCTGGGGTCAGATGACCCCAGCCAAGTGAATTTCCAAGCTATTCACCCCAAATGACAACAGTCATACCCCCTCCCCAAGATTGGCTTCAAGTTTCCACCTTCTGCACAGTTTACAACTCAAACCCTAAATTCACTTAAGACTTATGCAGAACTTTGTTCAGGTTCCAAGAAGGCTTGCGAACCTAGGCAAAAGATGGCTCAAGTGGTCATCTAGGCACCCTGGACCAAATCCGTCCCTCATTCAACTCCACAGACCTCAACACAATTATACCAAGAATTAATCAAGAATCAGTGTGAGGAATGTAGTCTTTAAATATAAGCAGGGTAGGATTTTTTTTTTTTTTGTTGAGATACATTTCAAGATAATCCATTAAAACAGTGTTTCTCAATCTTTTTTGCCCCATGGAACACTTACCTAAATAAAAAAGCAGCATGGCACACAGGCCATGGAGCTGGGGGGCAGTGGTGTTAGGGAGAGAAGGGGAGGTTGAAGAGAACAAACAAGGACCCGAGTTTTATTGCACTAAAATACACTCCTGGGCTTCTCTGAGAAAGATTCCTCCCTGGATTTTGATGAAGTGCCCTTAAAAAAAAACCAAAAAAACAAACAAAAAAAAAAAACCACATGCACACAACAAAAACAGCTTGTTACTGTTCACATTGCTGATAAGAAGCCTCTGTGATCAACCAACAATTCCAGAAGATCCCACTTCCACTAAGATGGTCATTAATAAGCCACTCCATTCTACATGATTAGATTACAGTTCTACTCTGAATATAAGAGCTATTATTCCCATTTTTCTCCTTAAGACTTCATTAAAAAGGGGAAAAATGCCTATGAAAGACGCATTTGTCATTGAATATCAGACATCAGTGGTTGAAATTCTAAGGTGTTTGGGCAGCCTGGTTGGCTACAGTCTACAAACAGTTTAGTTACCAGGCAGTACAAAAGAAAAAAGCACAGAATTGTAAAGCTGAAGATTGGGTGAGACTCATCTAGCCCAACTGATTCCTCAGTCTCATGTTAACTGAAAATTTTAGCTGTCAATCAAGATTGTAATCTGGAAGCATCTCTGTAGGCAAGATGTAACAACTGTAGTACAAATTAAACAAACAAACAAACAAAAAAAGAAAGGAGGGTGGCATCTCCTTCAACCAACTTCACTGAATACTTCAATATCTTCCTCTGGTGGCATACTTACTGCTGAAGTTAAAGTTTTAGTTCTTCAGACAAGTCTTAAACTATGAAATGTAGCTTCAAAGTTCCTTCCAATAGCTTGCATTAGCTTCAGATGCATTGTTGTAGACACCCTAAAAACCACTGCTATCAACAACTATGCTATAAAAAACTTCCGTCCTTCCTGTGAAACTTTCAGAAGTACATCCATGACCAATCTCAGGCTTCCGCCATATGACCCGAAATCCTCATGGTGCAAGGTTCCCTAAACCCCCAAAGATGCTGCTGCTTTTATTTCAAAGGGCACTGCTTCTCCCATGAGCTGGGAGACATCACTGATGAGCTCCAGCTGAACAAAGAAATGGTGCCCTTTGAAGCTGAAGCCACAGACAACATCAGAGCAGCTTTGTCCTTAATTTGGCAGCCTCCTGCCAATTAAGCAGGTTGCCAACCACCCAGATACAGGTGATCTAACTTACTGTACTACTTTGGTACTAGCCTGTTATAAGCAGCAGCTTAAATATCTTTCTCCCCCATTTCATCATGTTGCTAAAAAGCAGTGTTCAAGTAAGGTGATTCATGATGATTCAAGAGACGGGCACAGATCAGTTCTACTATTATTTATTTTTTTAAATATTTTTGAAAAAATATAATTTTTTTACAATATTTTCAACTTAAACACTATTCACACTGAACACGTATGGCAGCTTAACCTACCCAAATATGAAGTTTAAGAAGCCAAAACTGTTCTAGCTTTATTAAAAGAAAAAAGTTGTTGTGCTGTAGACTATTGTGTAGTGATGAATAAACAAAGCAAGGGAAAAGCACCACTCAAATCACTAATGCTAGGGTTTTTCTTGGTTAAATCCAACTATATTAAAGTTGTATACTAGAAGTTATACAGTTCTATGTATGTGGGTTCTCGGAAGAAATTGTGATGAAACTCACATCTCCTTTAATGTAATTAAGTGAAAAACATTTCTAAAACATGATAACATTGTAAATACAGGACATTTCTTCCAATCAATTGGATTTTAGTTCAGTAACTGAGATCTAGGACTCTGTACAGGTCTGTAAAATAGTACTGTTATAGTTCATGCTTCTCAAAAAGAGCATGAAGTAAAGTTTTTGATAAGGGAAAATCATTAGTAACAATACTGAAGTTTTAAAGGAAAGTTAGCTAATTTGCATAATAATCAGATAACCTTGCTTTTCTTTTTAAAGTTAAGGCATTATCCAGTGCAAGTTAGCACCAGTTTACATGTTCTCATTTAAAAAAAAAAAACAAAAAAACAGACCATCCTCAGTCAATCCTAAAACCTATTAAAAAGACAGAGTCTGCAAGAGATTTTCATAAATTTGGTACTTTGTCTCAACTTGACTGGTGCTTCTTACCTCACTGTTTCCTTCACAGAAAGCCAGGGTCCAATTATATTTTCATTAAACTTTTGACAGCTTTTTACTTAATAACAGTCTCAGCACTTTTATTAAGCATGCAAGACTAACAAAACTTTGGCAATGCATAAGTGTAACACAGTGACAAGAAGAGAGAGCTTTTACAATTAAATCTTCTAATACTGGCTTCACAGTGTGGAAATTGTGCTACATCCACCAAGAGAGGGCCCAGTCTACTCAAATACTCAGTACTTCACCCCAGGAACAAACTCCTTCGCATTTGGATTCAGATTACTCTTGACCTAAGAGAAGGAAAGACATGTCTAGTGTAAAAAAAAATTGGGACTCTCTCAACTTCAATTACATCCTCATCAAGATAAATATGCTCATCAGAACAGCTTACAGGCACTTATCAAACTACAGCATGATTTCTTAAATACATTAAAAAGTACAGTAAATTTTAGGACATTTCACTTACTCATCACTGCATGCTAAAAGTATGATTAGAAATGAAATGCTAATAGCAGGCGAATAAACTACTAGAATCTGCATGCAGGTCAGGGATATCCTGCTGGGTCCTGCTGAGAGTATCATGAGCAGTGGCCTGAGGTGCCTGACAATATACATTTGTTTTAACCACATTCAGTTATGCAACTTCAGCAAAGGATTTTAAAAAGTGGAACATTAGACTTGACTGCTCTTGATGTCTAAAACTGCACATGCATTCTCACTTATTTCGTAATCGGGTATCCTATAGGACTTTTCCTACTTTCATGCATTTCCTAACAATAAGTCAGGGAGCAGATTGGAAGATGTGTTAACAGAAATGTTATTTAAACATTTAATTTACATATTAGCCATCACCAACACCACTACTTGTCATCTTCACCCCATTATACCATAAGCTTTGTTATTTAAGCAGTAGACCAAAGTCTAGCTAGGCAAAACTGGGGGGCGGGAGTTAAATATCCCAGAGGCTTAATTTTGAAGTCCTACTACTTTTAAGCAAGAGGATTTAGTGCACAAGCCCAAAACAACTTGAGCAATGAAGTTTAGGAAGGCCAATTATTAGTACTTAAGGCTAGAATGACAGTAATACAGCTCCAGAGCAGAGACCATTTTGAAACAGTAATAGTATACCAAGTAATATTCTGTATATGTATGGGGAAAATGCATGTTAAGAGACTTTGGCTTAGGTGTTGGAACAGAGATTGGGAAAACAGTGCGTTATTAGTTCAGAAGAAACAAACAGGAACAAAGTTATATTATGGACCTACGCATCTCTATTGGTAAGGTTAAGGTTAGTTATTTCAATTTAATTTTTTTTTTTTTTTTTTTTTTTTAATTACTGAAAAATAATCTGAAAAGCAGCCTACCACCAGATCTTCCAGTGATGAGCTCTCACTGATAACAAGGTCATTAAATTGGTCCTGGATTTGATCCATTGTTTGTGGGAGATCTCGAGCTGGAATAAACCATTCGTGTTCTTCCTCCTCTTCCAGCATTTCTTGAAAACAGCGTTCAATAAATTCTTCTTCCCACAACTCTTCTTCAATCTAGTGTTAAAAAGGGGAAAATGTGTTAATGTATACAGGGGTGTAGGTTGTAGCCATGTTGGTCTAAGGACATAGGCAGACAAGGTTCCTTGGGTGAATTTGATATCTTTTATTAGACCAACCCAATAGTTGGAGAATAGTTAAGCAAGCTTTCGAGTTCAAAAACCCTTTGTCAGGCTAAGAAAATTTCAGCAGTTGGTGTGTGCTCTTTCCAGGAACAGCACACACCAACTGCTGAAACTTCCTTAGCCTGACAAAGGGTTAATGTATACAGTAACTCTAGGGCTAGGTTTTCAATGCAGAGCTGACTAGGTGATCAGCAGGGATCCAGGTTTTCTGTTTCCCATGGAAAAAAGAGAGTAAACCACAGATTTTACCTTTACCAGAGTCAATTGCAGATTTCTCGTTTTACCGGAGAAACCTGTTGGATTTAGCAATTTTGCAACAAGCTCCCTGCAGGATAGCAGAGTTCCAGCCTGCAGGGAGCTGGGAGGGAGCAGGAGGAAGGCAGTGAGACTGGGGCTGCCATTTGCATGGACATGCACATGGTCCCAGGCAGCCTGCAGAGCAGCTCCATCAAGTAAGTGGGGGGGGGGGGGTGAAGATATTGAGTGAAACCCCTGTAGGGTGGGAGGGAGCTGGGCAGGGCTGGGGCTGCTGCTCAGCCAGGCAGTGCTTGGGGCCTGGGGCCACAATGCACGGCTGCAAGGCCCCAGCGAGAAGCAGGACAGGGCTGTGGGTGGCTCGTCTGGGGAGGGGAAGGGCCGGTTCCCTCCCCGCTAGTGTGTGGGTTGGTACACACATTAGTGGTCTCTCTCTCTCTCAGCATGAGTATGAGACATTGGATTAAAACACAACTCCCCTTTGGCTCCTGCCTAACACCTGAGTGGAACTGTATGAGACTACTGAAACTTATAGCACTGGCCTCAGTACAGCACAGTTCCTCGCGCTACGTGTTACAATTTTCATCTAGTATTAGTTCTAGCAAGAACCCAGGCATGATTCCTTTCCCCTAAGGGAACTGTTAATTGGGTTTAACATACAGTAGCCCACACATGACTTTGGTTCAGGGTTAACTAAGTGATGGTAGAGAGGGGGGAAAAGGGGAAAAAACCCTCACAAAAAACGGGCCTAAATAATTGTATGAACACAATTCAATTTCTTAAAAAAGGCTATGTTGCTATACACAACTGTAGCCCTCAGCAGGGTTTGAATCCTTAGCCTTCACAGCTTTGCAACATATAACAGGCTCTCTCCCAAGCTGTAGTCTTAGAAGTAGGATAGTGGCTATGGGCTGCACTGGACTCAAACCTTTGGACTAAGCAACAACTGGTGTGATAGTCAGGAAACTGCTAGATCTCCTTAGCTACCAGGAGCCATGACCCAAAGCTCCCTAGCAGGGGGCATTTGTTTTGGAGAACCTTGGCAACAGCTCAAGGCTTCCCAATACAAGAGGGGCCACAACAGGAACCCACGTTAAGGAGGTTCACGTTCACCAGCAACGCGATTTAGAATTGGCAATTTCTGTATCTGTAAATTCAAGTCTGACAAAGACCAGACATTATTCAAGACTTTACTCTCTACCAAATCAAAACCTACTGAAGAGAGAGAAAATCTTAGAGAAATTGATCCAAAAAACTTTTTCTAATGGAAAGTGTTAGGCACTCTTTATACACCTGGTCTTAACATTCCCACAACCAAGCGCAGTTTTCCTCACAGATTTATCAAAGATTTGTACTGCTGGCATGTTTATCACTTGAGAATAAGCCACACAGTAACTCGCCCCAGTAAGATGAGCTAAACGGTATAGAAGTTTCCCCACCCGTAACTCTCCCATAAGCAGAGACCTAGGTTTTCCATTTCCAATGGAAAAACAAAAAAAACAAAACACAGAAAAAAAACACGGATTTTTCCTTTTGACCAAGGGGAAAAAAAAAACCCAACCAAAACAAAAAAACCCACACAACATGGATTGTTCACTTTAAACAGAGAAACAGACTGATTTTCCACTTTTATAAAGAGCGCTTGCAGGCTGGTAGAGTTCCAGCCTACAAGGGGCTATGGGGAGCAGGAGGCATGACATGCACACATGGTCACCAGGCAGCCTGGAGAGCTGCTCCGAAAGGGAAAGGGAAAGGGAAGGGGGGTGGTAATTGAGGCCCCCCTCATAGGAACAGATAAGAGGGAGTTGGGCAGCGCTGGGGCTGCTGCCCAGTACAGGTGGTACATGGGACCTGGGACTGGAATGTGCAGGTGCAGGGCCTGGCTTCCTGCCGCTGCACACACCCTTGGGACCACTCCCAGGAGACAGGAGGGCACATGTCCCCATATCCGTGCACAGGACTGGGGCAGGCTGAGGCTGTGGCTGCTGAGGCCCTGAGCGGAGGGCAGCAGGACAGGGAGCCCCAGCAGGCACGACCCAGAGCAGCAGGGCAGAGTGGGGCCAGGTGGGGAAGCTCCTTGGCTCTGCAAGCCCCATGCCACCCTGGTGAGGTGCCCCCTGCCCACTTGGCAGTTGTGGGGGTCATGGCACAGAGCTGTGCCCCTCACTGCTGCTGGGTGGGTAGGGGGTGCCTCGCCAAGGCAGCAGCAAGGCACTTCACTGCCCAGTCCTGCTCTGACCTGATAGGTCCCACTCCAGATATGCTCTGGCTATGCTGCCCATGGAGGGAGAGGGAGCCAGGCTCCTCACTCTGCTCTGCTAGAGCAGCTACCACCTCCCACAGGCAGGAGCTGGGGCATGGGTACTGCTGCAGGAGGGCAGGGTGCTGTGGACTCAGGTCCCCGGCCCTGTAGCCCTGGCAGCTGTGGCTTGGGAGCGAGGGACCTGGACCTGCATCCTGGTGAGCAAAGGGGGCAGGTAGAGCTCTGAATTTCCAAAACAAAAACCCCAACCCCCCCCTCCGAAAAACCCAAAATCAAAATACCAATATTTATAGAAGGAAGTTACTTATTTTCCTGATGGAGAAACAAATGTAGATTGTCTCTGAAAGTGACAGGCTGAGCAAATTGTGTGTGTGTGGGGGGGGGGGGGGGGTGGTGGTGTTAGTCAGGCTACCCCATATCCAGACTCCCAAACTCTTATTGAGGCTCTCTGCTGCCTCTTTAAAAAAAAAAAAATGCCCCCCCACCCCCACATACACTTTTGTGCACTTTATATTATACACAAACTGGGAAGCAACTTACCTGCCTGTTAAACTCCTCTTCATTTTCCATCCACATGTACTCAGCAAACGGATTGTCATCTTCATGAGAGTGACCATTAATAATCACATCTTCATTGATGATGCTTGGGCTGGTACTGCTGCGACTTGGATCTTTCATGGCTGCACTTCTGATCTGAAGTCTGTAAATTAAAAGTTGCAGCATTGGAGAATTTAAGCTTATTCTCCCATCATTCACCTTCTGCAGAAACCTCATCCAAGCAATCATGGGTAAATACCTGATCTGTATTTACAAAATCCATATAGGCCAAGTCAAGTCTGACTGTTATGCTTGTAATTAGAGCCTCCCCAGAGAAAGACAACTTCTGCAAACCATAATTAACAAAACAGGGAATAACCCTGACTGGAGCATTCCCCAAATAACTATTAACACAGTTCTTTTACCAAGCCTCAACAGAACACTGATGCTTTGCAAGACCACTAAAGGAACCAACAGCATTGCTAAAGCAGTTACTCTGCAGATGTATAACATAGTTCAGAAGTGTTAAAGTGACAGGGAAATTAGTCTGTCATTTTAAAATCCCATTTTCTAAACTGTATCAAGTTTCTCAATAAACCAACCCAACATCCATTATTTTTAGGAGGCAGTACACAATGCTTCTTGGGGAATTATTTCTTTGAAAAGGAGTTTGGAGCAGGGTGGTACAAAACAGTCTGACTTGAAAAGAAGAAGTTGCTTCAAACACCAAACTAAAATATAAATGTGGACACATGCATAATTTCACTACTCAGACACCCTGGGAAAACTCCAGGATCCTATTTGAGTTCTTCATACCATCAGTTAACCATAAAGTGCTATGGTTATCCAATTAACAAAAGCCCACTGACTAAAAGGGGTTTCAGTGCAAGAAAGACAATACAGGTTTGGCTCAGATCCCAATTCACTAATGTATTTATACAGTTCCTTAACTATTTTAGAGGCAACTTCTTTTGAAATCTGAAGTCAGGATTCTGTATCAGTCATGCAGCAGGGTCACGAGTTGCAACTGTAATACTGTTCCATGGGATATACTGAATCCTGAACTTGAGAACTGCAGTTAGTCAACACATTTTCTAGTACCTACATGTAATTTAACCCTGGATTTATGACACATCCAGACTGAAATAATTAGCCTTTGCCATTTTACAAATAAGTGCAAGGTCAAGGGTACAGAGTATGCAGACCCTTTCATAAGGCTAGCAGGCCACAAGGTTCAAACAAATGCACAGAACTTGTTCTCCATCCAGTTTGGAGTAAGTTCAAATATTCCATTTAGTGTTTGCCTACAAGGTATTCAAACCTAGTCGCTTGCTAATCTTGGGAACTTCATACTTTGGTCCCAAAATGAGACTTTTTTAATGTAATTACCTCATGTATTTCATGATATTCACTCCTGCTATATTTAGAGTGAGCAGCATTCACATACAAACACCTCAACTCATTCCCCAACTTCTCCTACTGCAGGCTGTAGTAAAGTCACATATTGACACTGCAGCTTCATGTGAAATTTTGTATCTCCCAGAAAGCCAGAAGTTATACAAGAGTGATTAAAGCAGCCAGTGATTAAACCAGCTGGGGATAGAAAAAATACAAATAAATTTAAAATCTGTTATTTCTCAAAATGATATCTATATATGCCTGCACTCTCTCTACCTCCCCCCCTGCTGCATGACAGAAATTGGATCACTAACTGAGAGCTGGACCAAAGGTTCACTTTGTCCAAATACTAAGACCAAGACATAAACAAAACACTAACTTTTAGATAAAACATGCATTGTTTCACAAGGGGAAGAAGAAGAAAAAAAATGGAAAGATTGCTGTTTAAGTTTTTTAATGCAAAAATAAGAGACAATACCAATTTAACCTGCAAAGAAACAGAATGAGATGAAACATTAGACTATCCTAGCATCAAGAGTTTAGAAGTGTGCTTTTTTTTGGTCAAAAGTACAAATGGAAAGACTTTTATAGATATGTATTAGACAATTTGAACAGCAAAAATGCACTAAGGTATTGTATTTGATATCAATAAATCTAAAGTTGCCTCAAGGAAGTACAATTATTTATTAAAATTTGTTCTTCACCATTCAAAAAGCAAGATACCAGTGCCGAACAGCAGGAAGCTCTCTTCTCATGTAAAGAGTACCTTAGAGATCTCACAGAAGGAAGCTGTTAAGAGATACAATTTCCAAACTATGACAGGGCTGGGTTGGGGAAAACTGACAGTATCCCTCAATTACTAGAAATAACAATGAAAGCAACCAATTTATACATGAATTACTAAGGGAAAGTGAGAGGGGACATTAACAGCTGAAGCCAAGAAGGAAGTGCCATAATTTACCTGGGAGCTATTTTCCAGATGTATATATGAGACCCATTACTAATAGAGGATGTTGCTGTTGTTCCACCTTCAAAAACTGAAAGGGTGAAAGCCTATATTCTCAATTATATTTGAAGAGCATTGATAGCATAAGCTCCGAATAAAAACGTCTGGTCGTTTTTTCCACAGGGAAGAATGCATACAAACACCTGTGTTATTAGAAACCAGATGGGAGAAAGAAGGTTCTAGATGGTCATATAGTCACAATAGTTTAAATACCTCAAATATTTATAGGACTTGCCCCCAGTGCTGTAAGGAAACCATTTTTACAAGCAAGGACTGAGACCAAGATTAAGAATTTATCCAAAACATACACAGTCCATTTACACATGCTCTTTAACAATGTCACTGTGGGAGTGGATAAAGGAAAATTTCCAACCTGAGGCACCCAAGGAAGAGCACTTCAACCGCCACATTTATCCCAAACATGCAGCTGGTCCAATAAGAGATATTACCAACAAGAATTCAAGCCTTTACACTTTCAACAGGTGCCTCACTAGAGCCAACTAGAGAAACAAATCCAAGGATGACAGGCAGAGTACTCACAAAAGAGGCCCAGGAAACAGGAGAAATATTCATTTCCATCACAGCAATAACTGAACAGCAGGGGGCCTCAAGGCTCTACTTCAAATTTCATGTTTAATATATGATGCTGAGGAACAAACAAGAATAAGGAAAGGTCCTGCCATTATATTGCTATCCTCATCCAAAAAATATGCACCTGATCTCAGTGAGGACACAACAGATGGTTCAGAGAAGCACAATAAAAATGACTACGGGCATGTAAAACTCGTAAGAAAGACTGAAAAGAAAGGAACTGTTTACACTGCAATAGAAATAAATACGGATAGATCAGCTTTTCCCTACCTCAAAACAAGAACAAAGGAGACAATCACTTATTCACGTAAATTAAGCTATTGCAATTTGAGGGGGGGGGGGGGGAAAAAAAAAAAA